GGGAAATAGTTTTTGAACCAAGCAAAAATGATTTTTTAACCGAGCAAGAAATGGTTTTTGAACCAAGCAAGAAATGGTTTTTTAACCGAGTGAGAAATCGTTTTTTAACCAAGTAAGAAACGGTTTTTTAACCGAGGAAAAAATGGTTTTTGAACCAAGTAAGAAACGATTTTTTAACCGAGTAGAAATGATTTTTGAACCAAGCAAGAAACGATTTTTTAACCGAAGGAGAAATGGTTTTTGAACCAAGCAAGAAATGGTTTTTTAACTAAGTGAGAAACAGTTTTTTAATTGAGTGAGTCGAGTTGCTACGATCAAACAACCGAGCTAATTTTGAGTGGAAGCGGTTTTTTAACCGAGCGGGAAATGGTTTTTGAACAAAGTAAGAAACAATTTTTTAACCGAGTAGAAATGGTTTTTGAACCACACAAGAAACGGTTTTTTAACCGAACAGAAATGGTTTTTGAACCAAGCAAGGAACGGTTTTATAATCGAGTAAGTTGAGTTGCAATAGTCAAACAACTGAGCAAGTTGAGTAGCCATGGTTGTATAACCAAGCTAGTTGAACAGAAACGGTTTTATAACCAAGCAAGAAACAGTTTTATAACTGAGTAAGAAATGGTTTTATAACCAAGTAAGAAACGATTTTATAACCGAGTAAGTTAAGTTACAACGGTCAAACGACCGAGCAAGTTTGTGTTTGTGCTTGTGCTTGTGTTGCAAAGATCGAATGACCGAGCAAGTTGAGCTGCCACAGTCGAAGGACCGAACAAATTGTGTAGCAATAGAGCCGAACAAAGGTAAATGTGGCTAAGGGCCAAATGAAAGTAATGTTTGGAAGATCTGCAAGTGAGATGACTTTCACATATAAGATAATGTAAAATGAAAAGAGGATAAGAAACTTCCCTGAACATATGGTGGATGTCCTTACTCAGCAAGGGTCAAGTGTCCTCAGTATTGTGCATTCATTGATAGGCTTGATGACATGTTTTGGATAAAGTTCAGTGACTTGAGAGCATCTCTAGTTCACTGGGGAAAATTCTCGAATCATTGCAAGAGAGGATAAGCACCATGACCATTGAATCAAGCTTGTGCTTTTCTCTGCAACTTTCATTCTTTTTTTCTTTTTTTCTTTTTTGATTTGTCAATAGATTTCAACAATTATATTAACTGAAATAAAGCATCATAACCAATCAGCATCCCAATCTAAACAAGGAAAAAAAGGCCAGGGCATGGATAATATGGATGGATAAAAAAAGAAGAGTAGAATGTGGATAATATGGATAGACAATGAAATTTCAAAAATGATGTGATTTTGAGATAAACAAGAATTTTTTTTTTTTTTTTTGAAGTGCATAACTTTTGATGCAACAATTTTGACAAGGTTAGAAGACATCCAAGCTATAAAGCATTTGCTTCAAGAATTTATTTCTTTGCAACTCCACCAATCCAATCTTTAGCATATGAGACAATGTCTACTTCCATGCCAAGGTGGACGAATCCAATCTATCTCCTTCCCATGAACTAACCTTCAATGTTTAAAAGACCAATCATAAACCATCAAGCTTTCAGTTATACTAACTGACTTGGACTCACTAGAGAAAGGATTTTTTTTTCTTTTAATGTTCCTTGACAAAGAAAGTTTCAAACCCTCAAATAAGGTCTTTATAGGCTTGTAATGTGGCTAGGGGTTAGGCTATTATAAAAGAAAGGAATAAAGGCTCAAAATCAATTTCTTCATATATTCCCCTCACATTTCTCTCTTCACTTCCCCGGTCATTAATGTGGGTTAATAGAAAGAAAATCATTCTAGCTTTTGTAAATTTGAATGATTGCCTTTTTCTAACTCAAAAAGGGTAAGCAAAGGACAATGTTAACTATTTGGGATAGAGAAACAATGCCTTTCATCATTGGATCTTTAACTTTCCAAGTCAAGGAAACATTTAGTTTGCTAGGTCACCGTTTTCTTCCCTTTTTTCTTCTCTTTCTCTTTTTCTTCTTTTTTTTTTTAGAAAATTCATGATCAAACTAAAAGCTGTTAAATTCTTTGATAAGGGCTTTTATTGGCTTGTAATGTGGCTTTGGGTTGAGTTATCAAAAAGAAGGATATGAAGGGTCAAAATCTCTT